TATTTTATTTATCAGAATAAAACTAATCAAATAATTTCCCTTGTTTTGTTTGCTCATTTCAACAAGCACTTTTGCTGGACTAGGACATCAACAACTTTGTAAATTTGACCTATTTCTGGGAGAAGAGGGCACTCTTTCCCTTCATACCTAAGTTGGAACGTTTGGTTAAATCCTGTACTTCCAGATGCGGATCTGTAGGAAGTATCGAGCACGTACCTATGCTTATCCAGATCCACCGAATTTTCCATCGCAGAAGGTAACTGGAGCCATCCATTTCGGAACATTGGCTTAGATTTTTAGACTCATCCTTGTTCGTCTACAGTCATCTGAGCGCCACGAAGTGTGGAGTAGGTCAACGCGCAAAATTTATCTGGAAGTGCGAGTTTCGACTCCACGCTGTAGTTGCTCTAGCTTCTACGAGATTCTTGGCGCTCAGAGGAGAAACAGACAGCGTGAGATGCAAGAGAGACAACGCACTCACCTTCAAACTGAGGCAGCTGCTCTTCGAGAATGAGTCACCAGCCACAGCGAACAATAGCCATGTGGAGCACTTTTCTGCTAGTGACAGCATCAACGAAGTTCATAACCCCGTAATCGCCTTGTAATGCATGTACTATTCGAATGTCAGCAACTTTCACTGCGAAATTAAACCTTTTGAGCAAGCTTCTCATTGTACTTCTCTTTTAGAAGTGATGTATGCGGTTACGGTACGGCACAGCACCCTCGCATTCAGCCAAAACGCCGACAGCGGTTCGTTCCAACATGTGAAACCTCCAGTCCGACGTCGATCCTGTTTGAAGATAAAAGCCCTTGAGCCTGTTCATAAGTTTGTCTCATTGACACGTCGTTTAATGTGCTCAAAGTTTTATTTTCTCATTTTTTTTCATTACTACATCTGACTGTATCATCATGTTCTTGTAATATAGGATACTGTTTTTCAATCTGTGACGATGTGTACAGTCTGCTCCAATCTCAACCAGGCCAAAGTTGACATGGCGGGAGTCCGTGTGGCGAGGGTATTGCGTCACGTCTACGGTTAAATAGTCTGTTCTCTCCTCAATCTCTTCCCTCTTTGCGACAGCACGCGTATGCAGCGCAAACCCCTAGCGCTGCCAGCGCGCAAACTCAGTCGACTTTTCGGCCTGATCCCGATTGGGGCAGACTAAAGCTCTACTGGTAATAGATTTTCTGATGTGCTCTCTATAGACTTTCTCCAAGTTTATAGTGTCATATAATGTAATTAAATCATTTCAATGCCAACACACTTGATTCCCGATTTTACTAACTTAATGTAAAGTATTTTCTAAAGCAGAAAAATAATGGTTTTTGGATTCTGGCCAGAAATCACATCAAAATCGCCGTGCTAGCGGCGTGAGGACAAAAAATTCGCCCCAGTGTCGCGAGCACAAAAATGTTGCGCCAGCGGCGTGAAATCATACAGCACACTATCTTCGCGAAGGTTAAATTTCTGTACCAGCGGCGCCTAACAGCGTACCAGCGGCGCGAATGTCGCGCATCACTCAAGCGCATTCTGCGGACAAACTGCCATTGTGGGTTCCGCTCGTACGCTATTCACGCGGCTCTTATGGAACGAATGTCAAAATATAAAGAGTAAATTTCATGCTATGAACATCAGCCTGCTTTCCCTATCTAAAGGGTCCACGATTCCGAACAATCGTCTGTTTAGCGATGTTTATTCCTCTTTCAATCATGGCCTTAGGTTTCGATATCTCCGTTTTAGACAGAAAAACATCGCTTTTCGAAGGGTATATGTCAAAAATAGCGACAGCTGGCAATAGTGGCACCCTGCGTGCCTGGGTGTCAATAAACGGTACACATGTAGCACCGCCTCAGCAACGGACGAGCTCACGCAGTCACCACATTTTGTAGCGGTAAATGCCAAAAGCATTGCTCTTCTTTATTCAAGCTTTATGTTGAGGCTTTTGTTACTTTCTAATGATGGATAATCGGCAATCACATCGCTATAAACCCGCGATAGAAATGTTTCGAACACAGTTCAGCATTTGAGTTATGTAAGATTCCAACTTGATGTATGAAACGAACTTTATTGATAACAACCTGAAGTTTGAATCATTTTTCTCAATTGTGTAAATGAGTGGGGGCGGGCGGTTCTGCGCGCGAACAGCTGGCAGCTAATGGCTGGCAGAGCTCTCGTTATTCTTGGCCGCCACCCCTTTACCAAAAGTGGGTATAGACGAAATATCGCTCTGCCACGGCCGTCTATTTCCGTGCAGATTGCACGGAAAGCGGGGCTCACTTAGCCTTCGAGGAAGATGGAGATCCGTTAACCATAATTAGACATACAAGATGAGTTTTATTATGGCCAGATATGAATCAAAAAGTGAGAAAAGTATTTGCGCCTCATTCTACGTGTTTACCAATGCTAGATTACAGATTTGATTAATTTTTGAATTGCTTTTATTGGTACAACCAGTGGCGTGCCGAGGGGGGGGGGGGGCGCCCCCCCCCCCCGAGAACAAATCGCGAAATTTTTGAGAGTTACTCACATGGGTTATAAAATTGTGCAAATGACTTGCCTGCACTTGTAAATAATTAAAATAATTTTTAAAATTTTTAAATTCAGTTTAGCCTTATAAAAAATTTTTCGAGGCAGGTTCCGAGCCTTTCCGAGCAAAAAAAAATTTTTTGTCCCCCCCCCCCCGAGTCGAAATCCCGGGTACGCCACTGGGTACAACCACATAGGAATGGTTCAGCTCGGGAGTATCAAGTGGAGATGTTTTGGCTCCATCACGGTGGCGCACCTAAACTACTGCAAATAGGACTTTTGACTGTTCTATCGAGAAGTGCTTGCATTGCACGAAAAGCTATACAATCTTAGTCTATACTGTGGTAGACCTTCTATGTAAGGTAATCCTTTATGAGTCCATAAAAGTAGATATAGAAGCTCTACAAGTCATAGTTTCGACTATTGAAAACAACTGTCTTTCTATTCCCACACCATAAGGCAATAAGTTTATATCATTTCAATTTAAGCCAAAAAGCCGCCATTGTCCTCGCGCTCAGAAAATGGTTTAATTGTCACAATCGGTCTCATTTCCTTCATTAAGCATTTTTGAATATTTATAGATAAGCTATTTGTCATGATGAATTCATAGAAGCCCATACTGACAATGACTAAAAAAGTAGAAGAATGGAAAATTCTGCGCCCGGGTTATAAAAAAAATTGACTTCTTATGTTGCAGTTTTTTGACTGTTGTTGTGAAATCACGATAAATGTCACAAAATCTTGAGTTTTTTGAGTTTTTAGTACGAATCACCTCAATTTCTTCTTACTTCATTACTTTTACTTTTACATTTCTGCAGTTCTTCAGTTCAACGTATGGAAGGAGGAAAGCTAGATATGTCGCCTAGGTATGCTGTGCTCATTTTGCGTCTATAGAATAGTACACTGAGAGAATGGCAATGAGTCAAAAATATTTACACCCATTCTGAAAACAGGTAGTATTAAATGACATTGTTTGGAAGCAGATGTGTACAAAGGGAAATTATCAATATACAGGATGTCCCAAAAGTATGTATACACTGTTTGCGTTGATATCTCTTTTCCCAAGAAGACTTTTGCTTATCTCTAAGCACCATTTTATAGAGCTGGCTTCAACTTAGATACACAGTTTGGAGCAAATCACTGGTCGCTCTTCATTACTGTAGGATTACGGTAGAAAATTCAAGAAGAGTTGTGAGCAATGAAGGACCCTATTTCGCCTCAGGAAGCAAACCGAAGAACCAGAGAACTTTCATGCTAGGCCAACAGCCCTAAAACCAAATATGATGCTTGCACATTACCGCAATGCTTTCGTCATGAGTTATGCCAGGTATACCGCGAAAGCTGGGCCTGTAGTAAACCCCCCGTATCTGCTGACGTATAGCTCGGAGTCTGCCGTGACATGTGCTGACTACCATGGAGCGAGGCAGGCAAGGCGGCTATCCTTTATCATTGCCGGCGAACGCAATCAATACGAAGCGCCAGGGTAGTCCCACTTTGTCGCTATATATCGCGACATATCGCGACATATAGCGACATATTGCGACATGTCGTGACGGACGAGACGGCGAAATACTTTTTCCATCATGGAGACGCAGAGACATAGCGCAGGACTAGAGCTCGACTACGCCAACCTCGCACTAGGTCGCACGTGCACAATGGCAACAATACAGTAAGGAAAAAAAATAGAAATAATCAATTGTGCATGCGCACAGCTCGCTTATTCAGCCCAAATTTTTCGTTCACTTTGACATGCAGCGTTCTTAATGTTTTTCTTTTTTCTATCACCGTGTACAGTTACCTATCGTTGTTGTCGTTTATGATTGTAAGAACCTTCGATTTTGTGCATTGGAGTGTTTGTCACATCACATGATCATCTTGTTGGCCGTCCTCTGGCTGAGTTTTACAGGAGAGCAAAACTATGGGCAAGCTATATACTGTCTGATGGGGCTAAAAAAGCTGCATCAGCTAGTGTATAGTTTGCCCCACAATGTCCCCGCATTTAAGCTTTTAACGTCCTCTGAAGCTGAAGGCGTCATTCGGGTGACGCCTGTTTGTGCAGTCACGCCTATTACGCGGCAGCGGCACGGCGTCAGCCGAAAATGAACGGAAAGGTCATAAGAGACCATTTTGTGTGTTGTTTTTTCACATTTTTGTGTATTGTAGGTATTTTGCGGGGCAAGGGTAACTGAAAGACGGGCTTGACCCTCGTCCCTTGCTATTTCCCGGGGCAGTCTCGTCAAATCGATGCTTGAGACTACCCCGAGGGCGGGAAGGGCTCGTCTATGTGCAAAAGACGCGTGTGGACACCAATTGGACCACCCTGTCATCTTTAAGGCAAAATTGTGACTTGCGTTTGCCCCAGCAATCTCATCGAGGGTGAAATGCTTATTGAGAAAGGAAAGGAGTAGGGTAGTGCTGAGAGTTTTATGTTTTTTTGAATTGATATGCATAGTTTCAGTATGCTTGATTGCGTATGGATGCGTGTGAGTGCGTTTGCGTGTGATAATCTTCTATGTTATTCTAGTTCCTAGTTTTTTAGGGTTTCATACAGGACAATGCGACTACCCATCTCGTAGAGGACCTGGAAGTCAGTGTCATCGACGTCTCTGTAGATTTCCGGAGAAAGAGGAATGTACCCGAGGACGTCATCGTCATCTCCTTTATTGGTTGTCGGAGTCGTCATCGGAGACACAGCAAGCTGCGGAAGGAAACCATCAACCTAGAGAATCCTCGGATTTGGAAGATCTAGCACGGGACAGGAGAAGATCTCGAGACTATTTTCGTGATTATCACTATCAACCGCGCAAACATAGAGGATATCGCAGCAAGCCACATACTATTCTATAATTTGATCCCCAACCTGACATGTACATTTTGTACTAGTCAGAGGATTACCAAACGTTTCTCCTTCGCCGGTACCCGTACAACACCATCGTCGGGATATCATCAGTCTTCTACATCAGATGCCGGAAACATCGAGGACGTTGTAAAACGCGAAGTGGATATGTGAACTTTTGTCCCGTACATTTCGCCCTATATACCCACAGGACTACCACTAGTCCCAGATTTCTAGTCTTACAGCTCGCCCACATGTTGCTACTGTGATTTCCTGCTCTGTTCGTTCCATGAACGTGGTCAACAGACTGACTATTACGCACCAGAAGATCGTGCAGTCTTTGGAGTTTCATTGCCAGTGTCCCAAGAGGCTCAGGGTAAGATCAGAGTGATAAATCTATCTGTAGAGACTGTTCAGGCCTTTACAATGGATTGTTCGTGGATATGGCTAACAAGGAAACGATACTCAATGTCCGTGGCTTTTCGAAAAGTGATTCATACTATTACACTCGTCTTCGAACGCTGATTCCGAATCTGCCTTCCGTTTCTGCTAATCGTTTCTCTAAAAAAAGTTATGGGGGAATTTCGAGCCAAGTTTGGCTGCTCAAGGGAAATATGGTCATTGGAACGGCTTCTACCGCAGCCACTTTCTGGTCTAGTGGTTAGTGCGATAGCCTTATAAGTTGATGCAGGTGTAGGTTCAAATCCTTTTGTGTTTTTACTTTTGCATTACCTCAATTAAGCTTCTTCGAGAAAATTTACTTGAACTATGATCATTGAATACAATTTAGCGCAAATACTAGTCATTTTTTCCAAATTTTTACATTTTTTGAAGAGTAAGGGCGTTCACTTAGCTCGATGATGCGAAAGAAGGTTAATTGGGGCAATGCAAAACTGGAAAACACAAAAGGATTCGAACCTGCAACTACATCCACTCACGAGGCTATCGCACTAACCATTAGACCACAGTGCACCGTCGGCGTGGGCGCTCCGATCCTATTCCACGGAACAGCCAGAATCCGCGCGATCCATTATAACATTTTTGAAGCGATTAGCAGAAACAGAAGTCAGATTCGGAATCAGTGTTCCAAGACGAGTGTAACGATATGCATATCATCTCAAAAGGCCACGGACACCGAGTATCGTTTCCTTGTAAGAAGATCTTGCTCCTTGGAAGTCAGATGGTTGACCCGTGGACTACAACCAGCCATGGAAAGTCAGTATTCATCTAGTAATCCTCCAGGAAGATCGGAAGGTACGGTGTAGGACTTCGACTTTGTTTTCCTAATCGTTACCATCACCTGCGTGGATAGGAGGTTATTGTGGAGATTTGCTTTCGAGTTTACGTCTGGCTTACGTTTCTGTTCCTGTGAGAAACTTGATACACCATCTATCCCTATCGGAAGACTTTGGAGTACGACAATTAGAATTCCAGACTGCTAAGGAGTGTAATTTTGTCAGTACTGTTGAATACTAAATGTCACGATAACATCTAGTGATGCCCACAGAATCCGTGGTAGCAACAAATAGGTTTTAGAGCCGATGAGACTTCTTTGGGTTTTCTGAGTCCCTTGTGGCTTATTGTGTTTGGATCGCTTGTTAGAATAGCCAAATGGACTAAGAAACCCAAATGATTACCCCACACTTGTAGGAACGCTTGGTTTGCGCATCCCGGATGATGTGGTGAACAAGTGTTGCTACTTGCGCATGTTTCAGATTTCAGCGACCTTATACTGCAAGGCACGATTTGGCATCCAGAGACTTCGCATTTTGACATCTTGTTCGACCACATTTTTCAGACTCCTAGGTTATACTTCATCGGACTAATTCGATCGAGCCAACGAAGTCATCTGCCCACAACGACGTGAACCTTCCATCGACATCGGTCACACTGTTTTGCTCCTGAAGACAATCTATGGACAAAAGGCGCTTGGTCCGACGGTGGAGACAAATTTCTGCCGTGCATATTGGATTACCTTTCGACAGTCGATTGTGAAAATCGAAGATCGTTGTGGACATTGCAACCCTGCTAATAACACCAGAGCGGGGTTAGGAGTTGCGATGTGATGCAAGTTGCGGTTTGCTGCCCTTGGAAAAACCGACTTTGCCTTGTTTAGGATTGTTGATCTCTCCACATTCGTGTTTGAACATAGTCCTCACGAAACTTCTGGATTTCGTCTACTTTGTTTGCTGTTAGGATCGTCGCAAGGAGTATTGCCTAGAGGACTTTGCTCATACACGAACACTGTATAGATTCCACAGTGTCTATGTGAACGTTTTTGCCTTGAGCGATTCAAACGCATACGGCGAAAACACTCACTAGATACCTAATCTCACCAAGCACGCTCTCTATACCACAAATGCCCTGGATTTGTAATCCCACAGACCCATACTTCCTACTACGTCTTATACCACTATCAAGCCCCACCATCAGGAGATTTGTGGGTTTCGGTTCGATCATTGCGTATTGCGCTGTAGATTGCTTCCCTCTTTGCATTGATTACATCAGTTAGTTGTCGTCATCTGAATGGCAATTATTCGAGAACACCGGAACGACTGTGGAAGGAACGGATTTTTGGGTGTACGCAACTGGCTGCGTGATTGCAGAGATGTGGCAAGTGAGAATTGTGAATCGTCACTCAGCATACTATCCTTTACCCACTTTTCAGCGACTTCGTGACGACAGTTAACACCATGTGTCAATCGTGGCGACATTATCGACTATACCCATTTGGAGGAAGACGCTATTAACACCTACCTGTCTATACTTGATAGATGGATAACATCGGCAGATGTGTCGTCAGGAAGTTTCTTTTGATACGTTCGTCACTCGTTTTAGCATTTACAGGACGATGGGAAGATTACTGCTGAGAAAGATACTTGTGGATGCGCAGAATTGGAACAGTTATCCCTTCGGCGCACAACATCTAAACGACGAGAGGATATTACGCGATTTGAGGTTCACTTGGTCCATTTTTTTTCGAATTCTATGTTTAAGCCCCACAAGTGTACGATTCACATAGTCACATATGCCTAAGGTTACAATCTTGTCAACTGCGCAGAACAACTAGCTCACAGAATGGTGAAAAAGGAAGTTGTGGTCCAACCTTGTATTTTCGATGACACTTCAATGTGTAATCAGCAGAGAGTGTTTAGTGAATATATTACTCTATTCCACAGGGATGCAGTCTTTGGTGAAGACGCAGTCCCCTAAGTCCACAAGCGCCTGATAGCGCTCTTCTATGTGACTGTCGCGGTTTCGCATCGCCTTTTGGCTTATGCGTTTTCGCTTGACTTATGTCGCACTCCACAGAGCACGATATTTATCGCGCTCCTCTACGCGTCGAAGAAGTCTGAAGGTCCCGTCGCGATCGTCGTGCAGTCATCATGTGCAAAGATTGCGTCGTGTGGCTGCTAGTTGCGATTTTTCTATTTTTTCGTCTATTGTGATTCTCTTTCCTTTCTTTCTTTCTTTGTTTTCCTTTCATTCTATGGTGGGCCATATCTTTCATTTGTCCTTTGTTTTACAGTTTCTTGCTTCCCTTTCTGTCTCTTCAACTACAATTCGGATGGCTCACACTTTTTGGGTAATCTTCTCTAATCTTCTTATATTCATTCACTCTTCCTTTATTGTTTTTCTTTCTTCTATTTTTGCGCTGCTTGTGTAGGTAAGGTTAGTTGCGAAATTTAATATCGTGCGCACTGTTTTATCTACACCTGTAGCTCACCTTCTGTTTATCTTACTTCTCATACTTAGCTTTTTCTAACTCCTTTCCTTTCTTCCTCGCATGTATCTTATTTTTCTATTCACACCTTTCTTTACGACCCCGCGCGTTGCCACCCACTAACATCCACAAATGTCACGACCTGTTCTATATCCCCTTTATCTAATTAACACCTCTCTTTCTTCGTCTTTTATTTTCTTACCTTTGTTCCTGTTCCTTTTCCTCTCCCTTTCATTCTTTATTCTTTTACTAACCCTCAAAATTTGTCTGTTGTGGTCATTGTGGCGCGCCTTCCCTTTCCTCTATCATTCTCTCCAATTATTTCAGGGTAAGGCGATAAGGTAGACTGACCATCTACACAATGACGATTTGGCGTACGAAGACAAGAAGAGGCGAACCCGTATCGAAGTCCCAGCAGTATCGGGGACGGAAGAGATCTTATTCGAGGTCGCCATCAACTTCATCGGAGAGGAAGCAGGCACGAAGGGCAAAGCCGAGCGAAAGCCCGGCTCAGTCCGAGCTGCTAGCTGAAGTAATCCATGAGCTTGCGATCACGCGAGCTCCGGAATCCTCTCGCTCCACAGAGGCAAAGCCTCCAGTCACTGAGGAAGCCCACACTCGAGCACTCACCATGCTCGAGCTTATTTCAGCTATAGCGAATGGACGTGACGTCACCGGAGACTTCCCGTTTCAGGCCGAGGAAGATCCAAAGACGACTGTAGTGCCGAGAGAGTATCGACCAGCTGTCCAGTTACTCCATCAGATGACCATGGCACTCTCTACGGACTACATCTTCAGTTCGGCGCAGCTGAGTCACGCAGATCTTGTTGTTCTTGACAATTTTATCCACAAGGACTTCTTCGAACAGGTTCAGGTTAAGTCGATCCACCCGCAGGAGAGGCAGGAGTTCGGAGATAGTTCCTCACACTTGAGTGCTCTACTCATTTCTGGCTCTATGGAAGGACTTGTGCAGATGACCGCAGATGCCACCAACTATCTGCAGGAACTTAGTCGTAGGCCGCAGCCAGGTCCAGAAGACATTATCAACCGCATGGACATTCTCTTCACGAACATCTACAATATCAACTTCCGCCGATACAACATTTTAAGAGAAGTCATGCGTGTGTTGTACCTGAGACCTGAGCAGATCCAGTCCAGAGTTGATCTCCTGGCCAAAAATGACATCACATCCCGCAAGTTGGAGACTACCTCCATGCAGCGAACTTGATCGTAGCGCAACTGTCAATTGTGCACGAGTGCTACCGTGTAGTTCTCAAGGAACAGCTGCAAGCCAGAGGTGTTGTAGACCCCATACTACTACCACCACCAACCACAGTGACTCCAGCCGCACCGCAACTTCCGAAGCCACGGAAGAGGAAGACCAAACCCAGGCCACAGCCGGTACAGGCACCTCAATTTCCACCGCCACAGCCGCCACCTAGCATCCTGCAACACACGGTTCAGGAACTGCCTCAGCGGCCTTCCACTTCCACACCTGCAAAGGGCGCTCGAGGCCATCGTCCATCAGGAAGGTTCGACAACGTCATCAGTCCCTTCTACGCCCCTACAACGCCCTGGCGCCCCCCAGGATGGGGCCCCACCGCCCATTTCCCAAAGGCAACCTGAGCGGAGAGGAGAGTCCAGGAGAAGAATTCCAGAACGGCGTGCAGGCCGACGGGCAGAGGAAACCACTTGCTGTCACTTTTGTAAGAAACGACACTCGCTTTCGAGATGTGACGTCTATCGGCGACTGAGTAGGAAGATGGAGTTGAACGCGACACGAGGAGGTTGTTTCCTCTGTTGTGCCAAACACGCTGAAGAGGACTGTCCCCACCGCGGAAGGGAATGCAGGAGATGCAAATCCACGGAACACGAAACGTCTTTCTGCTTCGAGAACCCGCATGGAATTAACGATATTGGTCGCTTGGAGTATGGTTTGCATCTCGAGCAGTATAAGGCCTTAGCGGAAATGAACCGGCGAGGGGCAAAGATCAAGAAATCGACTCGCAGGTAAGTTGCCTTTTCCACATTTTCCGTTTTACCTCATTTGTCTTTTTTCATCCTCAATTTACGGTTTTCGGGGTGAGCCTTAAGCTCACTCCCTTGTTTTTTGTTGTCAACTTTATTTTAGGTTGACTATGGCGCACTCATGGAGAGTGTTGCTTCTTGGTTTCTCCCCACTATGCTGATCTCCCACAACTCACGGTTTTTTAGTTTTTCTTTTAGTTTTGCTTTGTTTTATTTTTGTTTGTGTTGTTTTCGGCGGACCTTAAGTCCGCCTTGTGTGTTGTTGCCAACTTTGATTTAAGTTGGCAACAACACACGATGTCCACACTTTGCGTCTAAGCCAAGGCGGATTCAGAAAGTGCATGAATTGCTCTTTCCATCAGATTTTTAGCCATGCAAAATTGTTATGTTAGGAAGAAGTTATGATTTTATGAAAATGGTGGGACAGAACTTTTGGACCAACCTAATATATATATTAGGTTGAACCGAAAGTTCTGTCGCACCATTTTTAAAAAATCATAACTTCTTTCGGTCATGACGATTTTGCGCAATTCAAATTTTGCCTGAAAGCGTAAAGCATGTAGTTTCCAAAAGCTTCCTGGAGGAGTTTCCGACATGCTCAGGTGGCAGAGATAAAAATGAAAGAACGCGATCATCCGAAACTCGGAATTTTTAAGCAAGAATTCTAGAAATTCAGAAACAGTGCGATAAAATCCAGAAGAGCCATTATCCTAATTTTTCTTACGTTTGATTACTATCTGAGTCAAGTTTGTGCTGATCGAGCCCTTCTTTCAAAAGTTATGATTTTTTGAAAAATAATGCCGAAAAATTAATTTCCTAAGAATTCTTAAGATATGGATTTTTTGGCATTTTTTTTCAAAAATTCATAACTTCTGAAAGAAGACCTCGATCAGCATAAACTTGGCTCAGATAGTAATCAAATGTAAGAAAAATTAGGATAATGGCTTTTCCGGATTTTATCGCACTGTTTCTGAATCTCTAGAATTCTTGCTTGAAAATTCCGAATTTCGGATAATCTCGTTCTTTCATTTTTATCTCTGCTACCTGAGCATGTCGAAAATCCCCCGGGAGCTTTTGGAAACTACATGCTTTATGCTTTCAGACAAAATTTGAATTGCGCAAAATCGTCATGACCGAAAGAAGTTATGATTTTTTAAAAATGGTGCGACAGAACTTTCGGTTCAACCTAACATATATTAGGCTGGAAACTAAATTTTGCATAACTGGTTTCATAACTTCACTCTCTTTGGATATGGTGCACTCAAACTTTGGCATTATGTAGAAGGCAATGTGAGCTACAAGTGAGCAAAAAATTTTGTGAATTTTGAACACGAAATAGAAAAGTTTCAGGCGTTTTTCGAAAACTAATGAAATTTGAGAATTTTTGGGGTTTCAAGTTAAAATGAAGCCTTTGGCAGCCTAGACCATGCGCAGTAATCCGGATTCGTCTATAAATTATTGCTGGAGGTTGGCTCCTTTGGGCTAGTAAGAAGGCATGTCGAGATTTGGCGTCCTCGTAAACTCGAACGAGTCGATGTACGCAAGAGCTGTTGGGGACGACTGTCAATGACTAAAGAGTCCGAAGCTCAAATTCCGCCGAGACTTTTTATAGTAAGGTTATTTGACCTGCCAAACGCGAATATCACATTCATTTGTTGATTCAACGCCTCTTTCCTTGTTTAGGGTGAGATCCCATACAGTCCACCTACATTATTCTTATAAAAAACCCTTATCACGCAATTTCACTATCGTTTTCGTAATCAGCATGTTGGATAACACCCCTATGCCAAGTTTCAGCCAAATCCGTCAAACTTTGAATTTTTCCCCTTCATACCATGCACCTACCGTAACCCTCACTGCGACGTCAAAATTTGGTAGAACAGCGGCTGCGTTTGTAGCTTACATAATAACCAACGCAGGGGCAAAATTTGAATGCGCCATGTTGAGTGAGAGGAAAGTTATGAGACCAGTTGCAAAAGTTAGTTTCCAACCTAATATTAGGTTGATTCATAATTAATGCACGTTTTCTATACTTCAACTTTCAACCGAGATAATTCTTCTTTGAAAAAACATTTTTGGGCGCAATAAAAACTGCTGTAACCACCAAGTCAGTGGCTATAAAATAGATACTTTTGCGTGACTGTATCTATTACAAGAAAGATTTTCTGGCCTGAAGATTGCCAACAACTTTTTTCAGAAGCCTTTACTTTGAAAGAGCATAACTTATGTTGAAATAAAGTAGGATAAAGCAGACTTCGCTCATCGTGTAGCCAAGGATCTCTTGAGCAGTAATGCCAAGTTTGGATTTTGCGGAAAATTTTTGAAAGAAAATATCGCGAAAAGGTCGAAAGTACTCACTTTTTTTGGCATCTCGGCGGGTTCAAAAATCAATCATTTTTGAAATTATTTCATTTTTCTCCGCTGGAAAGCGAGAAAACCCTAGCGTTTTTCTACCATCAACTAAACTAGGTCTACCCTTGCTGGATAGTGAAAAAGACCTGCAATCGCTTTTTTACTTCAAAGTTTTATATGGCACGAAAGAGTCGCGACGATTATTCAAATTGGCAATTGAATTTCTCGGCTCAGAATTCATGGAAAATTTTGTTCAAATAGCATCTTGTAGCACAAAGTTTCCTAATCCTTATGCAGATTTTTTGAAATTGATACGGCTATTCCTCATGGATTTAGGGCAAAAAGAGTGAAAAGCAAAAATTTTGAAATTTAGTCTCTTTTATTTGAAGGCCCAGAACTTTGAAATGAAAGGAGAGTTACGAAAGCGAAGGGACGCATAAGAAACTAGAAGAAACGCTCTTTTAGATAGCCTAAAAAGTTTTTGAGGAACTTGATTACACATCAAGTACCAGCTCCTGGAAGAAAAGGTGAGAAAAACGTGCATTAATTATGAATCAACCTAATATATATATATATATATATATATATTAGGTCGTTCCGAAAGTAATGTCACTTTTTTTCAAATGAACGCCACATTTCCATTCGATGCAGCATTTTATCCCCTTTCTAATGGTTGTAACTTCATTGCATAATAACCATCGAGCTCTCGAAAAATTACCAAAATCTGCGACTCATGCTTTTTGCTATGGTCAAGTTCTGCCATTTTTCAGAATCTTTGTACCTATTCTCCGAAAAAGCACAAGTGACAGGTAGATAGAGCAAACTCTGTAGGACACAGAATGGTTTTTTTTCCTTAGCTTGCTACTTAGAGTTTCTGGAATTAGTTTTTCAATGCCATCAAATTCCATATTTCGTCAGCTCAAGCTTCACAGAACAACAACCGGCAAGCAGCTCGGGTGTCATTCGACGCAGCTTTCTCTCCTCTTTTTACCAATTGTTTTTTGTTTCCGATTCATCAAGTTTTTCGGAATAAATTCATTATAATTCAGATTTTCCAAGGCGCCCCAGGCTGTACCCGGAATTTTCGAAAGTTGCTAATCGGAAGCGGTAAACGCTCATTTGCTTTGTAAAGTTAGTGTCAGACCATAAACCATCTTCGTAAGTTTCAAAATCCGACGATTTAGTGGTGTTTGATGCATTTGTGTCTGAAACGAGTCTGCTAAAATCGATGGTTCTATCAAAAAATCTATATAAAAATTATGACGAGCTCTGGAAGGTGGAAAAAAGTTGTGCTGTTTCCTGTAGGGTTTGCTCTATCCATTTTTTACTTGGACTCCTTCCGAGGGTTATTGTAAAAGTTTGGAAAATTTGTGAAACTTGGCCTTCTCAAAAAGCATGGGTCGCAGTTTCTGGTAATTTTTCAAGAGCTTAGTGATTATTATGCAATGCTTATATATCAGTAGAAAGACAATGAAATGCTGCATCAAATGCTTCCAGAATCACTTACATATCTTTGTTCCACGAGATGTGGCGTACGTTTAAAAAAAAGCGACATTACTTTCGGAACGACCTAATATATACAGGGTTTCCCAAAAAAAATGTATCGAACGTTTAATCGTTAATATCTCTCTTCCCAAGAAGTCTTTTGCTTTGCTTCAGGTACCGTTTTGTAGAGCTGGCTTCAACTTAGATTTGCATTATAGAACGAATCACCCGTCTTTCATCATTACTGTAGGATTACGGTAGAAACTTGAAACATGTGGTGTCAATGTGAAAAAAGCTGCCGTTTCAAAATTTTTCAAAAAATGTGAAAACTTGTGTAATAGGGTTTTTATGGACGCTGAGTTTAATACTCAACTATTCACGAGATCAGAAGCCTTCTAAACGGTGTAACCGCACTTTTTAGGAACATTGAAAAAATGGCCGCTACCTCCTACCTGGCATAACTCTTCAATGAAGCATCATAATAAGTTGGGAACTTTACAGTTATAATCAGCAACTATAAAAGTTTTGAGGCTGTTTTCCTTTTTGAGGCAAAATATGGCCTTTTACTGCTTGAAACCCTTTTCGAAATTTCTACCGTAATCCCACAGTAATGAAGAAAGATGAGTGTTTCGTTCTATAATGAAAATCTAAGTTGAAGCCAGCTCTA